GTTAAAAAAATCTTGGAGGTGGGCGTATCTGAAGCTTGGGGATTTTTTGCGAGCAAGGCACCAACAACCAATCACATGAATCTCCCGCCCCCGACATACGAAGCAAAAAAGTTTGAAGTAAACTGGATATAAACTCCCCAAACAGGCGAAAATATACCACTGTCTCTGCCACCTCCCTCCATGCCTGGCTCCTCCGGTTTATATCCCGGTAGGTAAATAGGGACTGGTCATAAAGCACCGGGTGATTCCCTACCGCTAATTTCTCCTCTATTTTTTGGAATATGAGGAAATGTATGTCTCTCCCAGCATACACGCGGTTTGATTGGCTAGCGCTTGAACTGTCAGATTTGCATACACGGGATTTGATTGGCTGACGCTTCCACCTCAGCTTCAAAAGTTGAACATTGCTCAACTTTGAATCCTGAAAATCCTGAAAATCTCCGCTCGCCTGCCCACAATGCAGTTCGGCGAAAAGTGAGGCAAAGTGACGTCACCCCATTCAAAGTGAATGGGCAGAAGCGTTTCAAGATTTTTTAACGCTGCTGTGTGGACGGTCCGTAACAGTCCACTACCGCCCGCGAGGACCCAGGTTCGATTCCGGCCTGAGGTCCAAACAATTTATTTAAAAAAAATTAAATAAAAAAATAATAATCTCCCGTTCATCGCGTCCATTCGCGACCCACCAGTGGGGCGCACCCCACACTTTGAGAAACGCTGCAGTACACACATCTACCAAAAATAGGACAACACAACATTAACATGTATTCAACATAATCTACAAAGCTCAGCACATCAACAGTTCACTGTTTTGATTACTTATATCTCAATTAAATTCTGAAATACAACAAAGGGTTCAAAGATAACATTTTGAATCCCTACTTCCACTGTGCTGATAAAAACATCACTTAACAAAGCGAGCAATCACACAGGCTTGGCTCAGCGAGCCCCTTTGTTTCTCAGCCAAGGCGGCCACAATACTGGCTGCAGTCACTGTGTTGGCAAACCGACCATGGCCATGGGAAATGATTAGCAGGATAATGTGAATACCCCACTAGCAGTCTTCAAGCTGAGCCAAACAGCCAGAAGAGATTGAATCGTCTGAGCTTTTTGACATCACTCACTATTTTAATTACTCCCTTTGAGAGCTCATCTCTCCTCAATCCTCTGCTGACTGGCTTTTGATCAATGGGAACCTAGAACACAAAGGGTGATGGGTTTGTATGTGTTTGTGTAGTCTACATAATTAAGTAAAATTACTTTGAGGCACCTGTATTGAAGCCATTTATCAATAAATAATCAGAAGAGAAAGAGTTGCTTGCAAGGCTGTTCATTTGGCTTCTGTCTTGGACTGTTTTTAAAACAACCTTAAAGACTTGTTTTTAAAACAACCTCTTGAATTCCTCATAGAGGCAAATAGCAACGTTTTCTTAACATTAATAATTCATTCTATTCATTTTGCAGTTTGCTCTTGAGGTCCAGGACTGAATAGTTTGTTTTTCAGCACAAGCACAGATTGGTTCAGTGGGAAGGTCAGTGACAGAAGGAGTAATACTTTGCCAGAAAACCATTAATTGGCTGAAAAGACACTTTTTTGTGGACAGAGGACAGTTTGCCCTCAAATGTTGGCAAGCAACATCCTTATGCTAATAGTAAAAGTACATACCACACTATAGTTTAGAGTTTGTTGTTCATATCTTTTTCCCATCTCTAGCTAGCCATGCTAACACCTGTGAACCTTAGCACAGCAGTGCTTTTGAGCTAAATGCTAGCATGCTAACATGCTTGTGCTCAACATGGTCAGCGTCTTTGTTTAACATATTAGCATATTAGCATTTGCTCATTAGCATTAAACAAGAAGTAGATGTTGATATTTTTCCCTAGATGCTGCCTGTACAAGTGAATTAATAAAGTCACGTTAAGGACTATAAAAGAGATAAAATAGAGACTTTTTCCATGCCAATCTATCCAATAGGTATTACGATATTTCAATAGGGCCGAAGTTACAATACTATGGCCAAAAGGTTGTGCAGTAAACAAAGAACACTTTACTTCCTTAATTAAACTATCAACAGCTGCTACTGTCTCCAACCTAAATGATCTCTGCCAAAATGTTTTCCAAATAGTAACAATTATCGGGACCCTCCTCTTCCAGGGCAACAGTCATTAAGCCCAATCCTGACACAAAAACATTACCTAATGGTCAATCTGACAAATGATGATCTCAGGACAGAAATCATCAACATCGCCTTCGTAAAACGACTCAGCATATTAGAGCCAAATAACTGCCATCTGGTACTACCAACTCTTAATGGAAAACATCTAATTTACATACAGTAGGTGGTGAACATTATTCAATAATAAATCCTGTCAACTTGGGTAAGTTTTGATATGGTCAACACCTAAACTGTAAATGTCACTGAATGCCAACACTTCTTCTTGACATTAGAGATCACAATGAATCTACTTGATTTATAGTCAATTCAGACATGACTGAAAAATGAAATTCATAAATATTTGATCAACTTATTTATCATGGCAAGCCAGAAAATGTAAAAAACAATACATAATTTAGTAACAGAACATTTTATTCTGGATACGGTAAATTTGCATGAACTATATTTGAACTGCTCTCAAGTATGTCATTCATATAAAAACAAATGTATTCTTGCAGTATCTTTGTATAACTGGAAACTTTTCTTATAATTACCAAAAGGCACATGTCCTTTAAACAGAATTGCCTACTTGTTACAGTGAGGGCTTTTTCATCATGAATCAATTTTGAGAAAAATCCGACGTATAGACTCACTCACTTATACATTTTTTTAATTGTGTTTTTAGTCCTATAGGAAATGTTTCAGGGACGTGTTTGCTCTGTTAAATTGCAATGCTCATACTCATAAACTCATAACAGTTCATATAAAGGTGTTCTCGTTATTATGAGAAGTACGAGGCATTCTTATGATACAGATACACAACTCTTTCTATCTGTATATACTATTAGAACATTTTAAGAAAGAGTTTCATAAAAAATATATATTTTCAATTATGTTTGACTGTTCCTTTAAACCATATACATTACAGGGAATTCAATATATTGTATATAATAAGTATTAACATACTGAAAAATAACCTGTTTTTGTGTTTCATAGATATCCCTTATGAGATTTGAGGACGTTTTGATATTAGGAAGCATTTTTGGTGGGAAGTATTCAGCTATAGAAGAGGTCAAAATTATAAGCGATGGACAAATCGGTCTCCCCGGGACGTAAAGACCTTCCAGCTCTGGTACATCAGAGGAGAAAATTGGTTCTACAAGTCCAATAAATATACCAGCGAGATTCCCCAAGAGGGAAGTCTTATCATCACCCTGACAAATTTGGTTGATGGCTAGATCCACCAATCCATAAAGCAGGGGTCATACTGTCCGTTAATGCCTTTATAAGAAGAGTGCTTACGCAATAGTGATATTTATAATGCATTTGTACATGACCTTTTCTCTAATTGAAAAATGAATGAATGAATTACTTTATTGTCTTAAAAAAAAAATGCTATTAGTTGCCTACAAATAGTAATCTGCTATTTAGTCGTCTTTTACTTTCTTTCTTTAACACAACTCTCTTCTTTTGCTACATACATACAGTCAGTATAACAATCCAACAACATCCAAGTAGCGGTACAGGTTTCTTTTGATTGTTTACATAATATTTCATCTAGTACCCTATAGTATTTGATATAATATTTGTGGAGGGAAATATGTAAGAGAGATAAGTGAAGGTCTGCTGAGGAAAAATATGATATATATGATATATATATATAACATATCAACATATCAATATATATATATATATATTGATATATGATATCATGATGATTGATATATATATATGTTGTTTGTGCCCTTAAGTACAACACAGAAGAGTTTTGTGATCTGATGCCTCTATCAGCACACCGGCATACTTAGTCTGTTAAATCCAATGTATGATGATGAAACATCTTTGTTTCTTCTCTTTGCTTTTGGATCTCAGTTACCAACTGAGCGAATTTGGGATTTTTTACAGGAATGTTGCCAAAGACACCTTAGTCTCACAGTTGTAGACAGACTGTGTTTCGGGATTTCTAAATACAATGTGTCTTACAAACCCTAAGGTCTTTACATCCCCTGGATTTGGAAAGGCCAATCACAACCATATACATTTTGGGGGGTAATGTTGGGATAACATGCTGTTATTGGTCGGCTCAGCAGCAGGATGAAAAGAACGACTGAACCTGTTAGTGGCAAGATGAAAGCTCTGAAATAGTTCCTATTATGAACATTATCATCAGTGAGTGAATCATCTGTGTGCATCTGCATCAGCCTTTTGCATGTAACCACCCCAATATGATGGGCCATTTGGTTGTTCTGTGCAGTCTTTAAAACTACTCTTTGATTGTTTCTACCAAGTTTATGCAACAAAGGCTTTAGTGGTTCGTAGCATTAAGAGATTCGTTATTCTACAGACACTTGGTTTGTAATTACTGCAAGTGAAATCAGTAGGCAATACACTCAATAAACATTGTATTACCTCACTTAGAAATCGACAAAAAGAGATTTTTCTAAATAAGAATCTTGCTATATTATTACTTTAAATGTGAAGAGAAATGTCTCGCAACTCACTGTCAAATAATAGAATGGGAGACATGGAAATATGTTGATATAATACAGCCTGCAGTGGCCACAGAATAAATACACAAACAGTACTTCTGTCAGTCAACTGTCACTCAAGTATCCTGAGGTTAAGAGCTCTCGTTGTGTTTACTCGTAATCTTTGTGTCTGCCACTCACTATAATCCTCAAACAAACAACATACTGTCGATCTGAAACCTGTAGTAACCTCAGAATGTATTAAAAATTAAATGAAAGAGAAAAATCTGTAGTCACAGTGTGGAGTGTGGTAACACTCATCATTACCAGGTCCTGCAGAAGAGAAAAGGTTGAAATTATGAATATGATGTTCGCTTAC